CACAGATGGTAAAATCGAAGTAAGGTCAGTGAGTTGAGAACGATGAGTGTAGTGATGGTTGCAACAAAAATATTAATAATGCAAAGTTTGTGATTTTGGCTGGTGTACCCAATATATATATATATATATATATATATATATATATATATATATATATATATATATATATATATATATATATATATATATATATCCAGCTGGATTCTTAGATTATTAGGATATGTGGTTGGTACTCAGAGGGAAAAGAAGAATTGAAAAAGGGCATAAAAGTCACTGGATGGACCATTAGCCAATTTCCAGAAAAGATTGTAAACCCCCATTCTATAACCAATGGATAGTCATGCAAATATTCCAAAGGTCCTTGGAAAGTCAAAGGCAACTATGTAAATGGGTACCTTGTTGCTGTGGATATTAGCGCTCCTGGAGAGATCTGGGGAAGGAGAAGGAACTGCCCAAGAGCCAATGCCAAGTAGAACACCTTATAAGACAGTGATATGGAGCATGTCCGCGCTACACCGAATAGAGATGGTTGATTGCCCTAAAGCAGGAATTAACAGACTGAAACCGAAGACTCTGTGAATAAATGAACGAAGATGAATGGGATTGGGCAGAAGAAGAGAGTATTTCATCATTCATGAAGGGATAAACACGAATGTGACGTGGAAATCCTGTGAACAAATGTATTTCTCAGTCAGTTATAGGTTTTGGCAATTGTTAGACAGAATGATAACGATAAAAGAATATAACTATTCAGTACAGAAGATCCATTGGAAAACACAATATACCAGTGTAAATAAGAAAAGATTAATATAGATCGAGGCAGACGGACGCTGAGAACTGAAAATCATGGTCCAGATATAATTTCAGACAGGAGCAAGGGGGACCCAGATGTAATTAAAAGAATCAGATGAAATATATAACAATTGGGTAAGAAAACAATCAGGAATGCTATTGCACAAAACAGATTTTGAAATAGACCGCACAATTATTGTAAAAAAAAACTCTTAAGCTAAAGAAATTATAAAAAAACAGAATGACCAATGTTTACAAGTAGATTGACTCTGAGTCAACAACGTTATAAAAGAAAGATAAAGCAATGCAACGAGGAATGATTTTGACTGTATATAAATGAAGAAAATAAGTTGGAAGATTTTCCAAGAGGTTCTCGCAGAATCAAGCTAAGGAAAAAAAAATCCAAATCCAAACAAGCAAAGAAGCAAGCGGAAGTAGATGATAAATGAGATCTTGCAATGGATATATGAATGGAGAAGAGAGGCATAACGTAAGCTCAGAACCATACAGAGATTCAGGCAGCCAGAGAAAAGTCAGAAGCAGGAAGGGATAAGAAGATAGATTTGAAGAGGCAGTGCAAAGGCAATTACGTTTTCGAGATGAGGAAGAAGAATAACTCGAGAAAATGCAAGAGAAAGCGAAAGGTCAAACGTGAGGGGGAGACAGTCGAGGCTTACGGAACTGTAAGCAGAAATACACAACGGCCCTCTCCTACCTTTGCTCCGTTGATTATGAGAGCAGTTCCTTGGGTGAGGCAAGCCGTGCCAAGGAACTCCCACTGCAGATCCAAGAGAGAAGACTCAACTCAGTTTTTTTTTTAAGACATTCGGGATGGCTATGACGACATACAACACAAAGACCTAAATTAAGCACTCACATGAATTATCACTGAATCGTTTGGATAGTCTGGTTGGGAGTACGAACATGGTAGGTCCCTCAACAATGCAACATTCTCAATTCTTCGCCGTTGGTAGGGCTGACCCTTAATTGATTGACAAGATTTAGAGATGGATGCACGGTAACCTTTTTAACCAATTAAAATACATGAGTAATACTACTTACTATTACTACTTACTATTACGGAATATTACTTTTAAAAATATTAGTAAAGTGAAGCACTCCTTAATAAATATTAGTAAGGTGAAACATTTCTTAAAAAAACAATTTGACCAATTCCTTTCAACACTGACATCCAATTTGCTATTCTGCGCCATATAACTCAAACATTGCTAGAAGATGGTTAGAAAAACAAAATAGCCCGTTATTACGTTAGTTTTTGTCACTCGTTTTAGGGTAAAATATTCCTATACAATAATAACTACCCAGAGTGCAAGTAGCGATGCATTTGCCGTTCAATTGCCCTGCCGAAGCCCTGAGATCAAGAGCCAATATCCGTTTTCGAGAGTGAGGATACAGTTACGGATTGGGAGAGATAATGAAAAGAGAATAAAAGACGTGAAAAGGAACTGTAGAGAAGATGAAATAGTTAATGGTGGAGGTGACAATGACAGTGGTAAAGATGATGATGATGATGATTATGATGGCGTTATTAATAGTATTTTTTATAATGACAATGATAAAGGTAATGGTTACGAGGATTGTAGTAGTAGTAAGAGTAATGATAGTGACTGCAGGAGCAGCAGTAGTAGTAGCAATGGTGATGATGATGATGATGATGCAGTAAGAGTAACAGCAGCAACAATAATAATGATGATGGTAATAATGATAATGATAAATGATCATACTGATGAAATTGATAATGATAAATGATCATAGAGATGAAATTGATAATGATAAGGGGAATAATAATGACAGCAATAATGATGATGATAATTATGATAATAATAATAATGCAAAAATGATAATAATAGTAATGATAATGAGGATGATAATAATAATAATGATAATGACAATGATAATGATAATGATGATAATAATAATAATAATAATAATAATAATAATAATAATAGTAATAATAATAATAATGATAACAATAATATTAATGATAATAATAATAATAATAATGAAAATATTAATAACAACAACAAGACAAAGACAAGTGTTTTCTGACTCTAGAAAGCAAGAGAGCGAGAGAGAGAGAACTTGAGAGAACTTGACCTCCAGAATAAGCTTTTCTTCAGAAAAGTTTCTTCCTTTTCTCAGGACGCCGAGGACTGCCACGCCCACCTCTGCGCCCTCGTCGACTTCGCCCTGGAGATGAAAGCCCGCCTGGAGGACGTCAACAAACACTCCTTCAATAACTTCAAGCTGAGAGTAGGTTCGTATCGCATGAAGGAAGATGTTTTGTTTTTTTGGGAATGTCCTTGGAATCTACTTGGAATCTTAGTCTTAAGCGTTTTTGCGAATCGTTTCCAATAGGAATGAAGATGTTTATGATCAAAAAGGTTAATTTGATATTTTCTCTTTTCTCCCTTTTTATATTTTTTGGTCTCGTGTTTCCTCTTCTCTGAGGTCTTACCGTCCTCCCCTATTTCCTTTTCGTAAAAAAGTCGAAGAAGAGAACACGAAGGTAAATCAACGTATTATCATAATACTAGTCTTATAATCGCCCTCCTTCCCCTCCCTCCTTCAGGTATTAGCCACGGCCCTCTCGTCGGGGGCGTGATCGGGGCCAAGAAGCCGGTGTTCGACGTCTGGGGCAACACGGTTAATGAGGCTTCGAGGATGGACTCCACGGGCGCCAACGACACCATCCAGATCCCGAAGGAGACGGCGCAGGTGGGGCGGCTGTTTTTTTTTTCGTTTGTGTTGCCGGGATGGGGGGTTGTTGGGGTTGTTTATGTGATCTCTCTCTCTCTCTTTAGTTCTGTCTGTCTGTCTGTCTGTCTTCTCTCTCTCTCTCTCTCTCTCTCTCTCTCTCTCTCTCTCTCTCTCTCTCTCTCTCTCTCTCTCTCTCTCTCTCTCTCTCTCTCTCTCCCTCCCTCTCCCTCTCCCTCTCTCTCTCACTTTTTTTCTCCCTCCCTCCCTCCCTCCCTCCCGTTCTCCCTCTCTCCCGTCCTTCCCATCCCTGTCCCTCTGTCCCTCATCCCTCTCGTCGCCATCTCCGCCTCGTCCGCCAGCATGACGCCTCCTCCCCTCCCGCAGATCCTGAACTTCCGCGGCTTCCGACTGCAGTGCCGCGGGAAGATCGCCGTGAAGGGCAAGGGCGAGATGGACACCTACTTCGTGCTCGGAAGGAAGGCCTCCGCCCGTGCCAACTTCACGCGGCATCCTTCGACCTACAATTCTCTCGCGGCGGTCGTGTACGGCATGGTGCAGGCGCGCAAGAAACAGACAATCAAAAGAAGTGAGTTCCTGTGTGTGTGTGAGTGTGTGTGTGTGTGTGTGTGTGTGTGTGTGTGTGTGTGTGTGTGTGTGTGTGTGTGTGTGTGTGTGTGTGTGTGTGTGTGTGTGTGTATATAAAGTACTTATATACACATACTTATATATATATATATATATATATATATATATATATATATATATATATATATAGATAGATAGATAGATAGATATAGATATATGTATGTATATATATTTAGTTTGCAAAGTTCCTTTTAAACGGTGTTCCCAGAATCACGGATCTGCAAAGGCATTTCCAAAATCCGTGCATGTAGAGAGAACTCAGAGTGACGTCGTTCCCCTCCGACAGGCAACACCACGGTGCGACGCGACCGGCAGCGGAAGGTCTCGCCGTCCGAAGGGAACGCAACCAGCTCGGGCGGTGGCGGCGGCGGCGGCAGCGGCGGCGTTCGCGACATCACGCCCGGCCTCACGCGACGGGCCACGCGGCTGGAGCGGACTGTGACTTCGCACCACAACCTCCGCAGCCTGGCCAAGGACGACCACCGGCCCGAAGCTTCAACCAAGAGCCAAGAGGAAGGCGTGTAGATTCTCTTCCCGCCTGTGAGGTCAAAGGACATCATCTGAGGTCATACGCCAAGCATTTAAACTCAAATATGACCTTAAGATGACCCTTCACGTCGGAAGTCCCTTCTTTAAGACAGCTGAAACGATGCAGAAATTACTCTCTAAATCACTCTATGATATATCCTAAGATCATAAAAACGCCCCTTTCGGCCAGACACACCAAGCAGTGTGAAGAAATCCCTGTAGCCTGCTGATGTGCGCTCAGTACACAGCAGAGAATAACGAGACAGAGAGAGACTATACGAAGGCCACCACGACAGAGCTTCGGTGTCGCGGTA